GGTGTGGAAGGCTTCCTTCGGGTGTCGGGAGGCTCTTTTCGTCAGAAGACGACGTCCTCTTTTTGGGTATTTTTCGTAAAAACTGAGTCGGGCTCAGATTGCAATCCGCCATCATCCTATTCGAAAAAAATAATATTCAAAATCCTAGCAAACACCCACAGTCCGACAAAAATTTAGCTATTTGCGTACTTCACATGCGATCGAGTGTACCCTTCCATTGATCGGAAACAGGCAACGCAAAAAAACACGCTGCCCAGGTTCGGACCAAAAGAGGAGTGGCTGGGATATCGGTTGTCCGTACACACTTCCCTGAAACACGTGGCAACACCTCTCTAGCGAAAAGACCCAGCACTACCCTGACGTTGCTCAGTATGTACACCCCACCTTTCGTTTCAGAGGAATGTGCAAGAGCCGGTGATTACAGGTGGTGTAAGTGCAAAGAAAGGCGAGTTTCCACAGCAGAACGTTTTGGTCCGAAATTGGGCAGCGTTTTTACCGTTGCCTGTTTCCGATCAGTGGAAGGGTACACTCGATCGCTTGTTTCCTACGCAAACAGCTAAATTTTTGTCGGACTGTTGGTTTTTTGCTAAGATTTTGATTCTAGTTTTTTTAGGAGAAACAAATATACACACAGAAAGACTACCCGTTCGAGGTATAACTACACTCGAGGGGATGTGTTGAAGTCTTTACAGTGAGTAGAGGAAAACCAGCTGGGTACTTGACTTATTTCGAGTTTGTTTAAGCCTATACACTGATGATTTATATCATCAGTGATACCAGTTGGTGCTTAGCACAAAAACATCTGCGTAGTAGGTACATTTACATGTGGCCTGCACAGGGAACACGGCGCAATACGTCATGTTGACAGTAAGTAGTTGCTGGTTTAATTTAGAAAAATACATATGTTAGGAAAAACAAATATGCACACAGAAAGACTACCCGTTAAACACATAAAAGCTCCCTGTTCGAGCGAAATTCATAGTCGTTCGAGGGGGGCTTTTTACAGCAGTATTTAGGAAAAACAAGTATACGTGCAGAAAGGCTACAGCAGTATGCAATAACCGACATACGTTAGTTTATCTATTTACTACAAAGTACTGTTTATTACAGCAGTAGTTGTTGTACCTATTTGAAAAAACAAATATAGACTACACTAGTCTAATTATTTATTTTATTTTATTTTATTTGTTTCTGATTATATTTTGTTTTCTTGTATTTTATCGCTCTGCTGACCCTTGGGGTCCATTTTATTTTGGTATACCTTTTCTAGGTACGTTAGCCTGTGACCACGGAAATTGGCCGAGTCAAGTGATGAATTAGTACGGAGAGATTGAGACAGAAGGAGGTACTGGATAGAGAGACCGGGATGGTTTTTAATGTGAAGACAACAACAACAACACTCATAAAGGCTACTGCTGTACATATTCGGAATCACAAATATACACACAGAAAGACTACCCGTTCGATGTTGTATATATATTTTTTGAATTTCTGAACAGGTCAGTCAGGTGGTTGTTGATTTCCCGCTCAATTTGATTTTCAACTCTACCCATGGTGTTGTTTGATATGCGTGTATGACGAGTAATAATGAGACTCATCAAATGAGATTGTGACGAAAAGTATGCATTATGGGGGGAGAGTGATTGCAGTGCTCTTGCGTGTGTATGGGCAGTAAACTTGGTTGTGTAGGAGAGAGGAAACGGAGGTAAGTCTTGTGCTGTGTCGTACATTATGAGGAAAAACAAACATACATACACAATCGTACATGTTTGCAAACAGAATTTGAATCTCAAAACATGTCGACTGTTTGTTGCTTTCCCGCTCTTTTCGATATTTTAAAAAAACCATCACGTGATGTTTGCTACCTTGCTTGTCGAGTAATGACGGGATGGATCAGGGGAGGTTGTGATATAAGTACTACATGGGAGGGGAGAGATTGCAGTGCTTTTGCAAATGAATGGAGGGTAATCAGTCTTGGTGGAGTAGGAGCGAGGCAATAAAAGAAAGGTGGTGGCGAACATTTTGAATAGATCAAGTCATCGGGTCTATGCAATCATTGGCTGCCCCATCAAGCAGCAGCACGAGACTTCCCTGTGTTTCTCCGGTGTGTCGTAGCCATGTTGTAGAGTATCCTTCAGCAAGGGCAGCAGCAGCATCAGTTTTTTTGTTTAAATCGGATGTCGGATTGCAACATGAGCCCGACTCAGTTTTTCTGTTTTTCAATCAAAAAAGAGGACGTGGTCTTCTGATGAAAAAGCCTTCCGGCAGGCTGTCAGAAGGCTTCCTTCGGGTGTGGGAAGGCTTCCTTCGGGTGTCGGAAGGCTTCCTTCGGGTGTCGGAAGGCCTCTTTCGGCTGTGGGAAGGCTTCCTTCGGGTGTCGGAATGCTTCCTTCCGCTGTCCGAAGGCTTCCTTTGGGTGTCGGAAGGCTTCTTTCGGGTGTGGAAGGCTTCCTTCGGATGTGGGAAGGCTTCCTTCGGGTGTCGGAAGGCCTCTTTCCGCTGTCGGAAGGCTACCTTCGGGTGTCGGAAGGCTTCCTTCGTGTGTGGAAGGCTTCCTTCGACTGTGGGAAGGCTTCCTTCGGGTGTCGGAAGGCTACTTTCGGGTGTCGAAACGCTTCCTTCCGCTGTCGGAAGGCTTCCTTCGGCTGTCGGAAGGCTTCCTTCGGGTGTGGGAAGGCTTCCTTCGGGTGTCGGAAGGCCCCTTTCGGGTGTCGGAAGGCTTCTTTCAGGTGTCGGAAGGCCTATTTCGGGTGTCGGGAGGCCTCCTTCGGGTGTCGGAAGGCTTCCTTCGGGTGCCGAAAGGCCTCTTTCGGCTGTGGGAAGGCGTCCTTCGGGTGTGGGAAGGCTTCCTTCGGGTGTGGGAAGGCTTCCTTCGGGTATCGGAAGGCTCTTTTCGTCAGAAGACGACGTCCTCTTTTTGAGTTTTTTCATGAATACTGAGTCGGGCTCAGATTGCAATTCTCCATCCGATTCAAAAAAATAATTTTCAAAATCCTAGCAAAAAAAACACTGTCCAACAATAATTTAGCTTTTTCCGTACGACACATGCAATCGAGTGTACCCTTCCACTGGTCAGAAACGGGCAACGCAAAACACGCTGCCGAGGTTCGGACCAAAAGAGGAATGGCCGGGATATCGGATGTCCGTACACACTTCCCTGAAACACGTGGCAACACCTCTAGCGAAAAGACCCAGCACTACCCTGACGTTGCTCAGTATGTACACCCCACCTTTCGTTTCAGAGGAATGTGCAAGAGCCGGTGATTACAGGTGGTGTAAGTGCAAAGGCGAGTTTCCACAGCAAAACGTTTTGGTCCGAAATTGGGCAGCGTGTTTAGCGTTGCCTGTTTCCGATCAGTGGAAGGGTACACTCGATCGCTTGTGTCGTACGCAACTAGCTAAACTTTTGTCGGACTGTGGGTTTTGTGCTAAGGTTTTGATTCTAGTTTTGTTTAAATCGGATGTCGGATTGCAATCTGAGCCCGACTCAGTTTTTCTGTTTTTNGGAAGGCTTTATTCGGGTGTCGGACGGCTCTTTTCGTCAGAAGACGACGTCCTCTCCTTGTCGGAAGGCTTCCTTCGGGCGTCGGAAGGCTTCTTTCGTCAGAAGACGACGTCCTCTTTTTTGTTTTTTTTTCAAATATACTGAGTCGGACTCATATTGCAATCCGCCATCCGATTCAAAAAAAATAATTTTCAAAATCTTAGCAGTGCGTGCGTTGCCTGTTCCCGATCAGTACAAGCGTAGGATCGATGGCCCGTGTCCTACGGAAAAAGCTAATTTTTTGTTGGACTGTGAGTTTTTGCTAAGATTTGGTATTTGATTTTTGTTTGATTGGATGCGGATTACAATCTGAGCTCGACTCAATTGTTTTTTAAACAAAATCGAAAAAAGAGGACGCCCTCTTTCGTCAGAGGACGCCGTCTTTCGTCAAAGGACACCGTCGTTCGACCGGCGTCTAAACATCCTTGATTCTTTTGTATCGACAACACTACATGGCGCCGCGTCACAGAAAGCTAGTGGTTCGTGCCGAAGTTTCGTGCGTAGACCTGGGTATCCTCTTGGAACCTGTCGTCGCCATCTTGCCGGGGCTGCTTCTTCNAAATCTTAGCAGTGCGTGCGTTGCCTGTTTCCGATCAGTACAAGCGTAGGATCGATAGCCCGTGTCGTACGGAAAAAGCTTTTTTTGTTGTTGGACTGTGGGTGTTTGCCAAGATTTGGAATTTGATTTTTGTTTGATTGGATGCGGATTACAATCTGAGCTCGACTCATTGTTTTTTGAACAAAATCGAAAAAAGAGGACGCCGTCTTTCGTCAGAGGACGCCGTCTTTCGTCAAAGGACACCGTCGTTCGACCGGCGTCTAAACATCCTTGATTATTTTGTATCGACAACACTACATGGCGCCGCGTCACAGAAAGCTAGTGGTTCGTGCCGAACCTTCGTGCGTAGACCTGGGTATCCTCTTGGAACCTGTCGTCGCCATCTTGCCGGGGCTGCTTCTTCTCGCGATCACGTTCCACGACGGCAGGGTTTGCTTCTACATGCAGAACACGGAATGCGTGTCGCGTGAAAACCTCGCCAGGCTTACCCAACTCTTCGAGAAACACATGGACGTCACTGGCATCTCCCCGTACTCAATTATTGAGGGAGAGCTTCAGGAGGAATGGAGGAAGAAACGAAAGCGCGCGAGCAGTACTGGCGCGACCGCAGACACGTGTACCATACTTGTGAACCCCCTGGGAGAGGAATCGCTGCAGCACATCACACGAGAGTACGTTGTGGATCTGCTTAAACAAACGCTCAACGTCGGCGTCTTCTTTAAGTTTGGCCTTAAGCTTTATTCTCTCCCTCAAAATGTTAATTTCCGGACACGGAAATACTACAGTGACGTTCGGGTGCGCACCAAGGATAAGTGGATTACCGTGTCGAAGGACGAGGCCTATGATGAGATACTGTTCATGTTGGTTGAGAAGACACACGAGGCCGTGGAAATGTACAAGGATGGCGTCTCGGAGTTTGACATGAACCACTTCAACATGTTTTTACCGGTTGTGCTAGAGGGCAGAGACTCTTCCGTACCGGAGAGAAAGAAGTTGTACGAGAAAAGACGCAACAAGGGTCTGGACACCATCGCTGTCAGCGTGAACGCCAGGCTCAGCCAGCTGGGCAGGTGGAGGGGCAAGAGAGTTACTTTGCGGTGATGTCCGGTGGCGCCACCCACCACGGCCGAGCTACGTGCTTGTGCCTGGCTGGTGGTCGCCGCTGTCACTGTGGTTTGTCTGACGATGTGGCATTTGGAGTTATTATAAGTATTGCGCTAGGGTAAAGCACATGATGGATGTCTGCGGCGGCCACCCTCTCGGATTCGATTGGTACAGATTGCAGTCCGTCTACGCTCGGCAGCAAGTCGACATCACACAAAACAAATTGCGACATTGGCAAGGAGTTGGCAAAACTTGACGGAAAGCACGACGCGGCCATACGGGGCATCAATGCAAACCTTGATTCGTTGATAAAACGCGGGCACCAACAGACTATCTACCGGAGACTTGTCACAGCAAGCAAACAATCGTTGATGGAATGGCGGGGCATGCCTAGAGGTCGGCCGCCCAGTGCGCCGCCCCCCCCCCCTGGTTTGCGATGGCAGGTCCGTTTTGTTTACCCCTGATGTGAAGGCAATATTGGCCAGCCTTGTCGAGCAGAAGGCTGCCGTCTTGCGAGAAGTTAACCTGCAAAAAATGGCCCAGGGCATTGTCAGCATTGACACAAAGCTTGGTGTAGATGCAGCCAAAATAGATGATGAGCGAGACCTTGATGCTGATTGGATGAAAGGGTTAGTTGAAAAACAGGACGCAATCGACAAGAACATGGTCACCCTAGATCCTGGTATGCAGGCTATTTGGGATTCCCAATACGTATCCGGCAAAGACAACTACAATTTCGCAGCCACCATAAGTGAGACGCAGATAGATTACCACATCGCAAAGAGGTATGTTCCCACGACAGGGGAAGAAGAGTCTGATGAAATGAAAAAAGTTTCCAGGGATGGTGGTATCCCTGTTAAACAATACCGAGATATGCGACACTGGTATGAATCGAGTTATACATACACAGCTCGAGAAGAACAACTACTATAATAACACAAGAAACACAAACGGTAGGCGCGTACAACTCTCCAAAGTCAATTTACTCTCACTGCATATCACCTCTTGCTACAAGTCTCGACTTGACCTTAGTGGGCCATCCAAACTCATCTGCCTTCCAATCGAATACCCACTGAGCGTTAATTGCGTTCTCCACTAATTGCTACTTGCCCGGAGTAAAAGTCCCCGCTTCCAACAAGCCATAAAACCCCCTTTGCATAGAGTCGCTCCAAAGGTGCCGGTGCTCCGACGCCATGGCCTCTTTGTAGCTCTTAGGGACTCGAAGGTCGCTGGCCTGGCAGTGAGGAAGGTCAGGGCGTTGCTCCGGCGGGCGCTGGTCTCGCAGCGTGGCGTCGATGTCTTCCCGGTTGGCGAGGAGCGTGGCAAATGCGAGTGGAAAGCCCGCTCCTCCAGCCCCCGGGTCCACAGCTACGAGTGCTCCCGCCTGCCCTCCGGTCCCCGCTCCCCCCGGCTCTCCTCCCCCCCCCCAGCTCCCTGCGTTCCTCGTCCACCGAGCTCCGAGCCTCCGGCATCGACACCAGAGTATTCTTGTCTAGCATCGAGATGAGTCCTGTGCTGTGCCTTGTGCCCGATCTCGTACGGCTTGGCAGCCGCGGGTCTGTCATACCCTCGGCCTTTGTACCCGGGCGAAGCTGCCGCATGGCGTGAGCCGTAAGCGGGGGCATCGCGGGGTCCGGCGGCGGCGGCGGCTGGTATGGATCGGGGGTCGCCGACGGTGACGGCGGAGAGGCAGAGGACGGATTGCCAGGAGCGGGGGTCGCCGACGGTGACGGCGAAGTGGCAGAGGGCGGCTGTGAAGTCGTGGGAGCGGGCGGCGGCGTGGTCGCTGGCGGCGGCGTTGCGGCAGGGGGCGAAGAGGCAGCGGGAGCGGGAGCGGGCGACGGCGTGGGCGCTGGCGGTGGCGGTGTGGCGGTCGAAGGCGTCGGTGCTGGGCCAAAGTTGATCGAGACGACCGGCGGCGTGAACGGGGGGGGTGTCGGCGCAGTGGTGATATCTGCGGAACCCCCCTCACCGGCGGGCGCCGACGTCACCCACGACACGTTGTTGGTGTAGACGACGCGGCCGGTGGACGCCTTGAGGA